CTACCGAGCGGACAGAGATCCAGCACTGTCTGGTAACACTTGCGGAGGCGGCTTGTGTGTGTATATTAACAAAGAATGGTGCAACAATGCTGTGTTAGTGTCAAAACACTGCTCGTCGCTGGTGGAGTTTATAATTGTGAAGTGCCGACCCTTCAATCTGCCGAGGGAGTTCACGGCTATTGTTATCGTTGCTGTGTATATACCCCTTGTGCAAATGCTAAAGACGCGCTTCGCGAACTGTACAGCACTATCAGTGAGCAACAAACAAACAACCCTGATGGCTTTTTCATAATATCCGGTGACTTTAATCACGCAAACTTAAAGACAGTTTTGCCAAAGTTCTACCAACACGTGAACTTTGCAACAAGAGAAAACAACACATTGGACTTGGTTTACACAACAGAAAAAAATGCGTACAAAGCTGCACCCTGCCCCCATCTCGGGTACTCAGACCACATCTCTGTTATGCTAAATCACAGAATGGCCAGACGATGCTACCTCAGCACTACAGGACTGCTTCCAGGACACAGACTGGAACATGTTTAAAGAGGCAGCCACCTACTATGACCACACAGACCTGCAAGAGTACACTGAAACAGTGATTGCTTACATCAAAAAGTGCATTGATGATGTGACAGTCACCAAGAACATCACCACACGTGCCAACCAGAAGCCAGGGATGACAGCAGAGGTTTGTGGGCTGCTAAAGACCCAAGATGAAGCATTCAGATCGGGAGACAAAGCAGTCCTCAAAACAGCAAGAGCCAACCTGTGATGTGGCATCAAGAAAGCAAAACGGTTGTATGCACAAAAAATCAATAATCACTTCACTGACAGCAAGGACACACAGAGTCTGTGGCATGCTATTCAGATCATCACAGACTACAAGCCCCTGCCACAGGCCTGTGATGACGACACATCCCTCCCAGATGCACTCAATGAGTTTGAAATGCAGAGTGACAAACCTGCACAAAAACTACACACACGTTCCAATGACCAGGCGCTCTATCTGTCTCCAGTCGATGTAAGGAAGACCCTATCTAGGGTTAACCCACGCAAGGCTCCAGGTCCTGACAACATAGCAGGCCGGGGACTGAGAGACTGTGCTGAACAGCTGACTGATGTCTTAACAGACATCTTTAACATCTCACTAAGCCAAGCAGTTGTCACATATCTCAAGTCCACCACCATCACCTCAGTACCAAAGAAGTCACCTGTGTCCTGCCTGAATGACTATCGTCCCATAGCACTGACCCTAATCATGATGAAGTGCTTTGAGAGGTTAGTCATGCACCATATAAAATCCAATCTCCCAACAAACTTAACCCGCTCCAGTTTGCATACCGTCCAAACTGCTCCACAGACAATGCCATTTCCTTCACCCTCCACCTGGCTCTTACCCACTTAGACTCTTATGTTACAATGCTGTTCATTGACTTCAGCTCAGCATTCAACACAATAATCCCACAACAGCTCATCAACAAACTAAACCTGCTGGGCCTAAATACCTCCCTCTGTAATTGGATCCTGGACTTTCTAACCAGAAGACCTCAGTCAGTCCGTGTCAGCCACAACACCTACAGCACTACCACACTGAGCACAGGTGCTCCACAAGGCTGTGTGCTCAGCCCGTTGCTCTTCAAGCTGCTGACCCACGACTGCACTGCCAAGTTCAGCTCCAAATACATCATCAAGTTTGCTGATGACACAACTGTGGTAGGTCTCATCAGCAACAATGATGAAACACCCTACAGAAAGGAAGTGGCACAACTGGTTGAATGGCGTGAGGCAAACAACCTGTCCCTCAAAGTGAGTAAGACAAAGGAGGTTGGGATGGACTTCAGGAGAAACTCTGTTGACCACCCCCCACTGATTATCGACAGCTCGACTGTGGAGAGAGTCAGCAGCACTAAATTCTTGGGGGTGCACATAACAGAAGACCTCACCTGGACCACCAACACTACATCACTCTCCAAGAAGGCGCAACAGCGGCTCCACTTCCTGCGCCGACTTAAAAGAGCAAGTCTCCCTCCACCCATCCTCACCACATTCTACAGGGAAAATATAATTAGAAGTACAATTATCATCAAGCAACATTAGAAAATGTATGTAATTATTAATGTATTTGCTTAAAATCATTAAACCATCATCGAGTGCTTGTAATAACTTCCAGTTGTGATCTATCGTTGATTTTGATTAATAAGCAGACACATGCACTCTTTGTATGTGTCATAATTCTACACTGCTAATATTTGTCATAAGCATCCTTTATTGTTATAAAAAAATACCATGCATACAAAACACATACAGAAAATGTATCGTCATAATCATACGTCTATTCGTGTCTATATATCTATAACATTCGCGCACGTGGAAGAAAATGGACGGTGCTCTATAGATCACAGTGATTCAGTGGAGAATTAATAGAAATGTTATTCTGTATAAAGAACATGCGAGAATAAATCTGTTCTGAAATACCAACGATAACAAGAACTCAGCATGCACTCTCTTCTCTTATCCGGGGTATTCATCTTCGGTGTTTGTTTACATTGGTTTTTTGTGCAACAGCAGCTGCTCCGGTCACGTGATGCTTGCTCAAATCTTATTGGACAGCCCGTGTTGTCGCTTTGCGAAACTGAAAAGATTCGTCGGACTGGTTGGAAAAAAACCATTCGCATTTTCGGTGCACGAATGTTCGCGGTCTATGTGGAAGCATCCATAGAAATCAATTGTTTTATGCCAGCGCATCATCGCATACGATATTCGTTTAACTTTTTCGCGCTCAGTGTGGAAAGGCTTTAATATCGTTATAAATCATTCTATTAAACACAATTCTTTATGGTAAAGAATCAATTCTATCTGTCTGGTTACCATATTTTATTTTTCAAAATAGAGGATGAGGACGTTTTTGAAATTGTTCAAAAACAATTTTCAATTGTTCTTGAAAAAACTAATATTTCCATACCTGAACAACATATTTTACAGTCACCGTTATGCTGATTGATCATAACCACAGCTAAAAGGCTTCTTACCACAGTGGCCATCCTTCACAAAACTTATATCTACTACAGTTTTATCATAGGTAAAATGTTTCAATACAAGCATTTCAGTCAGACGTAATTTATGCAATATTTTAAACCTTTTAACCCACGGGAGAAAATCAACCCTCCGCAACGGTTTAAAACCAGCCCAATTCCGTGGAACAAACAATGCGGATTTGGCAACCCTACATCCAACACGAGCTACCTCCAAAGCAATTTAAGTACTCCGCATATTGATAGCGACTCCCTGATGCGCGAAAATTATATTCAATATAAGAATGTTTTGCGGGAGCAAGAAAATAGTCCCACGCAAGGCTTTAATACAAAAACGCACACAACGAATGGCGACTGTAGAAAGTCCGAAAGTCCGAATCCCGGATATTTTGGGTGATTTAGAAATTCCGGCCAGACGCATTGACATGTCCGGGGAAAAGAGGACGTATGGTCACCCTAGTTATGGATAGGCATTGTAAATTATATATATGGTTTTTTGGGGAGGATACAGGGTGCGGATGCATGTAAGCACAATCTTCTGCTGACTAGGATTTCTAAATGGAATTTTTCACAGGTTCTGGTGAACATGTGTGTATATATATATATATATATATATACACTGAACAAAATTATAAACGCAACACTTTTGTTTTTACCCCCATTTTTCATGAGCGGAACTCAAAGATCTAAGACTTTTTCTATGTAGACAAAAGGCCTATTTCTCTCAAATATTGTTCACAAATCTGTCTAAATCTGTGTTAGTGAGCACTTCTCCTTTGCCGAGATAATCCATCCACCTCACAGGTGTGGCATATCAAGATGCTGATTAGACAGCATGATTATTGCACAGGTGTGCCATATACAGTTTTACAAATCTAAAAATGCAAAATCTGCCTTTTCTGTGTATGCACATTTTTAGGATGAAATCTATGCAAAGTTTTATACATGATACCCTGGTGTGCCTATTAGCATATGTATGATGATTTGTGTAATGGGTATAAACACTACACCTTTTTAATGAGCTGGAGCAATTAATGATATGTTGAACATAAATACACCTGAGGGATACATTACACAACATCAAGTTCAGCATAAATTATAAAACTGCTTTATTAGAGTCCTTTCAATAGAAACAATAGAACCTTTCCCTTAGAAAATTAACATTTGTATAGTGTCATCAACTACGGGAAATCCAGTGTTACAGTCTGGACTAATATCATGGGTTTATCTATTGTCATTATTTCATGAAATGCACAATGAGAACATAGAGGTGAGACATTCTCCTTACATTAATTTAAAAAGGCAATGCATGAGTAATATCTAAGACTTTAAATTTATTTACAGTGTAAAACACAACCTTAAAAAAAACTATGGGGTAACAACAGTAGCTACTTTCAGTGACACTGATCATTATATCAATGCGATCATTTTTTTTAAGTATTTAAAGAACATTAGAGTACAACATGCCACAATCCCTATTTGTCCATATTTAATGATGTGTCTTGAGTGCTTCATGATTAAGTCAGTATTTTATACTTACATTAATGAGGAAGTGCTTTTGTGCTCCACAGCTGAAGACTTGCTTTGATCAAAATGTTCGGCTACTAGACAAGCTCTCAAAATGTCCTTGGTTTTGCATTACCTACATGTAAATTCCCACATCAGCAAATGATAAAAAAAACAGTTTGATGATCAGTTTTTCTAAATGAAGGGGGAAAAAATCACTTGTAATCGCTGCATGTAAAGCAATCTGCTTTCACTTTCATTTTGTCAGCAAGGTTGCCAAATATGTTTGAAAAAACCCCAAAACATATTATAGTTTTTACACCGTTTGGTTGCGAGAGTGAGTAGAGACTTTGAAAAGACTTTATAATGACATTTTTGGTGACACTTTATAATAATGATCAATTATAAGTCATTCAAAAATGTTTTGTTAATGGTTAACTAATCATTTAAACAATAATATACATTTATAGATGATTAATAAGTGATGTTTTAAGTCATCCAAAAATGTTTTTGTATGTCAAGAAATTATTGTATCATTAGTAAATGATTATATATCATTAACTAAATAATTATTGATATATTATAAATTACTTATTTTCACAAATGTGTTGCTGTGACTATTATTACATTACATTGCTCTAACATTTTCGATGTTGTTCACAAATTGTTTTTAATCAATTTTAACATTAACACAGCAGAACAGACATATGGGCTCACAATTTTTGTAAATCAAAAATAACGCAAATCTGTAGTGCA